TTAAAATTTTTTAAGAAAAATTTGGTGACCATTCAAATTATTATTAATCTTCCAAATCATAATTTACAAAAGTAATGTAAATGTTTTTTTTTTTTTTGTTAATATATGCTATATATATGCCTATCGATATTATATTTTCTCCCAAAAAAATATTAAATATTTTTCAAACGTTTACTGAATACTGTTAATAAGTAAGTAAATGACAATCTAAATAAATATGAATTTTATAAATTAAAGATTTTTTAGCTGAATATCAATAATCAATTGATAAGAAAAAAGTAGGTAACTAAAATGATATTCATAATCGTTGATGGTTATACTTAAGTTTTAAATAAATGGGCGCCGCGAAAGGGGCACAAGGGAATGCAATTGTACCCCTAGATTTATACAAAAATAAAATTTTAAAATGTTGGATAGAGGCTACTATTATCATTATTTGATTTTCTAGTAGCCTTTATTATTTTGTAGCTATCAAAAAAACGAAAATAATTTTTTATAACCATACAATTAGCAAAAAATATTCCTACATATTTAACTTAAATAATTTAAGTATTAAGTTTGGCGGAAAAAATGACCTGTATCAGCTCGGGAATGCAGTAAAATTAAATATATTGCAATTTCTTAAGGCATATTTCAAATTTTGTTTTTTCCAATAACCTGCTTGATGCATTAACCGTTTTTATAACTAAAAAAAAAAAAATCTATCTGACTATATTTAATTTCTGTAAATAATTTGTTAAAATTTATAAGAAACACATTTTCCGACAACGATTTGGTTTTATTTATTTTTTCAATTTTAAAAGTTTTTCATAAGCCATTATATATCTTTCTTATGATTGTTCAGACAGTAGATTTAGTGAAACAGCATTTGCCGATTTAACCATGTATGGTGAAGTTAATGGTTCACTACAACTACCGTACTGATTGTCATATTTCGTATTCATGCTTGTTTACGCGCTTCGATCAATCACTGGTTAGATTGTGTGACGTACTCGCGTCGTTTGCAATAAAAAAGAACACTTAACAAGGATAATTAATGAAATTATAACAAATGCCGGGTAAACAGGCCAAAAGCGCCGCAGTAATATCAACAAAAAAAGTAATAATAAATACGATAAATCTAAAAATAACAATAAAACCACATATGCTCCAAACGCGTTGTAATTATGTAACAAGACGAATCGTATGAAAATAATTATAATATTTTTAACAAATACAACGGGAGATACCTTGGACGGTCTGGCGTCCGAGTGGTTATGCCCACGCGACCGTGTTCACACGTGCGACGAACGCCTCAACCGGCAGAAGAATCGGTGGACCAGCGACGTCGGTCTTGATTTACAATAACTGACTTCTCCGCGCACGACGATAACACCGAAAGAAAATTTCGCGGACACGGGTCAGCTGCGGTTCGTCACACACACGAAGTTGTCCACGGAGATGGCGACTCCGCCGTGTTACGCGGCAACAACAAAAGCGCACGGCCGGTGGCACGGGAAAAACGACGAGTCGGACGTTCGCAGGGAAAGTGTCGGCGGAAAAAAGTCCCGGCACCAATGGCGTCCACGGACCGGTGACGCGCCGATCGAAAATTCTCGAACATCACACGCCGGCACCGTTGTCGGATGCTCCGGTTAACACGGAACGGGATAATTTGAACGGCGACGCGACGACACTTGCGCGAACGATCTCGTTTTCCAATTCGAATTATTATATAAATCGCGCAAAACAAATTTATCCTGTTAACGTCCAACGCACTTGTGCGGGAACGGCGAAAACGACATATGTTTAATTGTTTACGCGTCGTGCAAGGAGGTTGTGAAATGTGTATAAGATCTAACCGAAAGTTTACGTTTTGTACGGACCGTGGTGTACGTTTGAGTTTCTTGTTGCGCTGGGAATAACGCCGCCAGCCTTCTTGGAAATGTCCACTTTACTACACGGTGTTGTAGGGATTTCCACTTTACCGGCCGCCACTGTGGGATTCCCATCTTACCGCCCGCTGGACTGATTTCATTATTATTTTTTACTGTTGTTGAAATCGGGCATAATGTTACAACTTATAATGCTATGATTTCTCAAATAAATCATTTAATTGCGTTTTTTTTTTTCTGTACTCAGTACTTGAGTGTATTGTTAATGTTACCGTTTATCGTCATGTTTTGTACACCTTCCTTTTTTCAAGACAATTTCCATAGGGGTTCCGCGATCAAAAATATTATTGTTTGGTGTTCAGCAGTACCTCAAAAAGTTTAAGAGATTTAGAGATCCGGCCGCGACGTCCATCAGCCGCACTCCGATACTCCGATACGTTATTTTATGTATAAATGTATTATTGAATCTCAATAGTTATTTGAACCAATCTATATTTATTTGTAACATTAAGATCCGTTCCTTTTTATGTTCCCGAACTACGGTTAAATATATTCAAAAGGACCAGAAAACCTTCCCTGAATATCATATATTTAACTGATCATCCCCGACCACGTTACATATTGTTTTAGAGTTTCGTAGAGATTCGGTGTTCAGTGGAGTACATGGGATTTTGGAAGATGGTTTACTGCGGTAAATTTACCTTAATTTTTTTTTTTTATAAAAATCGATGCGCAATCAGTGGTAGTAAAAAAAAGTTTAACTAAATCATTTGCTACAAAACCGATTAGATATGTAATACAAAGTTCGGCTATTCAGTTTATATACCTATGATATATGTACTATACATTCATGCCGATAACAAAACGTATAGTGTGTCGTACATCATATACGCATAAGTGTTATTATATACAAAATGATAAATTCAAATTTATTTTAAAAACTTATTAAATATTGGTTTTTTTACTTGTCATAATACTAATTAGTTCCTATTCGTATATGTATAATTCCAGTCTGATACAAATACAATTTTTAAATTAAAAGTTTAATTTTAAACGTCAATAGTGTGAGAAAACGTAGAAACTATGCGATACTAGTATACTGTTCGTGTTAGTTTTATAATAATTAGTATAATAAGAATTAAAAAAAAAAACTTATAATTGATATCCAACCCATTATCGTTATGCAATATTAAAGCTAACATCACTATATTTGAATCACTGAACGCAAATTTGCTATGTTGTACGTATGTCAGACGGAGACAACACATGCGTGTATGACGTCCTTTTAATGAAAGCTCTTAAATATAAAACAATAAGTTAACAATTAAATATAAATATAAATAAGTATACCTATTTATATTTAATTTTTAACTATATATAGACTATATATAGACGGACCTCAAACAATTATATGAATTATAAGGTAATTTAACTATACATACTAGTATATTACATATATACGTATATTCCGTAGTTGTGATTTAATTAAAGTCTTTGAATAACTTAAAATATATCCTTAGTAATTTGTATTGTAAACTATAATTTTTAATTCATTTTTTTTATTTAATATAATAGGTAAAAAGTTTATGGAGAAAAACTATCAAAACTTTTTGTTACATATTACACTAAGTATACATAAATACATACTTATTGAAAAATAATTTTTAACATCCACCATTATGTTTGGAGTCTTTATTCTTTACTCCATAAATAGTCTAAACCCTATTATTGAATATATAGTGGCATAAAACCCAAAGCGGTATCGTGGACAGAGTGTAAGAGCTTCGGATTAAACACATAATTAATTAAAACAAAATGGTAGTTGATTTATGTACCATTATCAAGTGTTTTTAGAACTACGTAATATTTTAAATAAAAACCATTATATATGCACACAATATAGATGTTATACTTAATACAAAATAATTACCAATCTAGATACTTTTAATTAAAAAACATTTTTAAATTTTGATATGATTACTACATAAACATTATTCGTTAAAATTAGTAAAAAAAACTTCTAAAAGCATCATACTTACTTGTTTTTTTTTTTTTTTGTGTAACGCTGGTTTAATTTCATACCTTAATGTATGAAGTTTTGATGATAAATGATTTTTTTAATGAGAATTTCAAATAGCCTATTATTAAATTAAATTTACGTAGAGATACCTTAATACACGATGTTAAATAGTTTCTATCTTTTATAAATTATTTTATTTTAAAAATTTTTCTATATTTTTAATTAAAAAGAATAATCTATAAATAGAAATAATATTATTTACCCACTCATTTAAAATGCATAATACATAATGGCAATAATACTTAATATTTTTTAGAATATAATTTTATTAAAAAACCAATACCAACCAAAATAATCAGTATAAGAATTTATATCGTGTGAATGTTGTAAGAGTGTTGTTGACTGATTTTTATCGATTTTATTGTGTTAATAAATAACCATTACAAAATTACCTGTTGGGAAAAGGATGGACGAATTAAAATAAACCATATAACAATAGATTCATCATTTACAAATAAATTATATATATTTTTATTTTTTTATCAACACATATAATACAGACAGTTTATAACTTTAAAATATATAATAATTTCTAACAATATAACTGGTTACATATTTACAGAATGTGAAATAATATTAATTCATATAAAATTAACATACATTTATATAATATATATAAATATATATGTTAAAAAAAAACAGTAACATATTTTTGTCTTAAATGGTAATTTTTTGCAGGCTAGTCCCACTTTTCTTAGAACGTTAAACATATTTAAAATAATTTCTTAAATTGTAATTTGCCAATATTGCGAATTTCAGATAAGAAGTTTTTAAGGAACATTCCAAGAAAAATTTTATTTAAGGAATTCAATTTACAAATAGTTTCATTGTGGGGTATGAAATATTCCCTATAGATCCACTATTCTGCATATTTTTATATTACATTGGTATATTTCATTAATTTATCCACGTCTTACAATAAAAAATATTAGGAATATAATATTGATTTGTATGACTTTTTAAATTACTTAAAATATTTATAATAAAACATATAATATTGTTAATAAATTATTAATTGAATTACATTTATAATATAATGATTTAATAAAACATTTTGTTTAATATTCTTTACAAATGTGTAGTTTTTTGAATTCAAAAAGTAAAAATTGACCAGTCTGCTCAAATCTAATCTCATTAGTTTTACAAATTAACAACTACCTAGTTAGTGTCTATCTACATATACTTCATTAGAACAGTTTGCCAATATTTTAGCATATCACAATTTTTTTCAAAGCTGCAATGCGTACCCAGCTCTGTAATTTGGACTATGAGTTGATCTGTATTGGAAAAATAAAAACCATAAACAAAAGAAGTCCGAGAAAAAAATAAAAATAAAATTAAAAATTAAAAAACATCGAAGAAATAACATTTCATAATATATGCGGCTAGTGCACACAATTATTAGATAATATTTTCGTGAGAAATTGTTTTATTTTTTTAGAGAGATCATTCATAAGTATAAGATATAGATAATAGTCTATGTGAGATGTGACCTCAAACCGGTATTAGTAAAACAAGCGACCATGCCGTATTATTATATTAATAACAAAAATAGGTAAATTATATATCAACCGATTTCTTTTGTTTTTACATGTGAAACATATAAATAAAATAGAGAAGAGTAAAATAGTATTTCTTACACAAATAGTTAGAAATGTGGCCTAAGATAGAATATATTGTTTTATTTAGAAAGGTAGGTTTTATTAAAGGGTTGTCTTGAAGAATCCGTAGTTCACCTTGAGTGGCCACATCTAAAAAAAAAATAAAAAATAGCGAAAAATCCAAAACCCTATGTTAATAACAGATAAGAATGGTTGTTTTTATTTTATTGAAATATATATATTTTTTTTAAATTTAATTTAATTTATGTTAATATGTAAACATTAAGAAAGTTCAACCGATGTTGAGTTGAAAGAATCAAGTATTTAAGGCGAACGATCGGATTTGTTCAAAACAGAATGTGAAATATAAAAGATGATAAATACATATATATATATATATATATATATATACTTCAAGAATATAAGTAAAAAATTTATATATACTTAGCCTATATTTATAGAACAGAAGACTTGTGTGTATAATAATAAAATCAACCACCATATAGTAATAATATGTAATACCACACACAGAGCTTGTATATAATATATAATAACATCGCTATCGTTTGTATTTTGTAGATTATAATCTAAAATATTAAATAGTTGTACGTATATAGTGTAATGAAATATAATACAAAAATTAGTTTATCCGTAAAACGATCGTAACCGATTTTTGAAGTCAATTTTATCTTTCAGTCGATTGGTGGCGTTATTGTCATAAAATAATATTTATGTGCAATGTCAGTGTTTTAAGTGCTATTGCGACGTTACAATTAAGTTTTCGATGCTGTTATTAAAATTAACACGAATATAAAATATAATTACTCATATTTAACGTTTGACTTCAAAAATCGCATTTTTACATGTTCATACAAAGAAATATTATAAATGGATGAAAACATTTTTAATTCGGTACACGAACTCTCGGTAGTAGACAGCAATGACGGCGGCCAATTGATCGTATGTATAATAAAAAGTACATTAAAAAAAAAAAAAAAAAAAAAACTATAATAATCTCGGGAAGAACAGTGATGGACACCCCGTTAAACACACGTGTGTTTGCCGAAGCCTTCGCCACGGTATATTATAAATATATATATGGGTATTATACATTATTATACAGATTACACATTATATATTACAAATATTACACGCGGATCACGACCCGGGTAGTGGTGATACGTGCGTGAGCACACGAGAACCAAGGTATAGAAAAACAGCCGGTACAATAGTGATAAAATATAAATAAATAAATAAATAATAATATAACGATAGTAGTAGTATTAGTATTAGTACACAAGTGAATAAATATATAATAATGCACACGGATGTATAAGTACTGCGTAGTAGTGGTATAGAGCGGCCATCTGTACTCGTGCAGTATAACATAAACGTGGTATACATACAGTGTGGTAGCTGTTATATATTATTAAGGTGATGTATATATAGTGCGGTAGTACATAGTGGTAGCAGTAGTAAAATAGTAGTAGTAGTAGTGGTAGAATGGTAGTAGTGGTAGTAGCGGTAGTAGTAGTAGACGTGCGTGCTACGCGCGAGATAGGGCACGCGAGCAGAGATTCAATGCGATTTCGACACTGACCTGTGTTGCTGCAGGCTGTCCTGCCGCTTGAACGACTTGTAGCACATCTCGCACCGGTAATTGACCGTCGGCAGATGGTTGCGCTCGTGTATTAGCAGCGAATAGTGCTTGTTGAACGTCCGGTTGCAGTACTTGCACACGAACTCCATTTTGACCCTTTTGGGCCGGAGCCGGTGGTTCTCCGAGTCGAGCTGTATTACCGCGTACATGATGACGACGGGGCCGCAGCGTCCCTGTGATGCTCCGCGAGCCGATCGTGTCCGTGGACTTTGCCGCGTACGGGGACGCGACCGCGGTGGTGATGGTGGTGGTGGTGCGCAGCGGCGGCTGTGGCTTCCCGTGAACGTTCACCGAATGTATTACGACAATATTAGGTGTGTTATGTTCACGACGTGTTGTTGTCGGCGGCAGCGATTTTTCTGCCGGTATTCTATTTACGGTAGATCCGACGGAGCGGAAATTGAAAAAATAAAAATACCTGTACGAAAAGATCGAAAGAAAAAAAACGAAAAATCTGCCGATCTCCCCGATGACACTGCGATGGTACGTAAGTGTGTGTATATATGTGTGTGTGTGTGTGTGTGTGTGTGTGTGTGAGAGAGCCGCCTGCTATAACAAATAAACAGACGCAAAATGAAAGTCACATATTATGATAACATACACAAGGGGAGAATGTATTGTATAATTTATGTTTTCGGTCGTAACGCGCGCGCTTGCTACGCTTGAGCGGAATAAAAAAAATAATAAAAATAATAAAAAAACAACACGATATATCAATAACAATAACAATAGGTGTCGTTCAAGGATTTTAAGTAGGCGTTTGCGAAACGCGATCGACAATGACGCCGCCGCCGCCGTCGTCCGCCTACTTATCTGCGACGACCGCGTACTGCAGCGATGACCGACTTGTTGCGGTCTGGGAGAAATTCAAGGCGCATCGAAAAAAATAACGGCACGTATTTTGTAAGCTGCGCGCGTGGGGCGAACGGGAAAAACTGTATTACACATCGCTGTACGCGCATGCACAGGCAGTAACGCAACGGTACGATAAAAAAAGGAAAAAAAATTACGAGTAAACAATAAAAAAAAAAAAAACCAGATAGAATCGCATTAATCATTGGCGCGGACGCGACGGGTGACAAGAGATTTCGACACCCACGACGGTACAACAAAAATAACATGTCACCGCACGTCGGCGGAGGCAGAGAGAAAAAATAATGGTGACGGGCGCGGGTTATATCGACACGAAAAGGTCGTACGGGTAAAAAACCGATAATGCGTACAATGACGGTTATCCGTACACAATACGTACGTTAACCACCGATGCCCCGGCGACGAAGTCTCAGGTATTTAAGGTAAACGTTTATACTTATTTTATTTTTTTTTTTGTATTTCGACTTCTCGCGTAAGCACACGGCAGCGGAGTCGTACGTAGGATATTGTTATCCGCGAACGGCAGCCGCTGCGGTGCGTACAGTCAATATTTGCGTAGGTGTATTTATAGGTCCGATGGAGCGCGGCGAGATCGCGATACGGTTGCACGCACGTCGGCGGAAGAAATATAACGGTCGAAAAAAAGACGTCGGAAAACCCGTGCGAGTTTCCCGCGACGAAATGATTGTATCGCGCAGGGAGCAACCGCGTGCGTGTCACCGTCGCTACTACGTGTGCGGACGTTGTGCGCGGCGGAAAACGACGACGACGACGACGGCGAAGACCAAGACAGCGGCGGTGGCGGCGGGGCAGAGGTGGATAGAGTAAAGGGGTATAGGCGGAGTCCGGTAGCCGACCCAACACCGGTAGCAGCGACGGCGACGTCGGCGGCCGCCATTAATTCGTCCCCTCCACCTTAACCACGCGCACCGTCGCTACCGCGGTTACGCGCGCGGTTCGATCGTTCAACACCGGTAGTCCATTATTTGTATTGTGTGCGTGCGTACTTGGCGCGCGCACCAACCGCGATCAACGGGTTGAGGCGCGCGCCGCCGCCGCCGCCGCCGCCGCCGACCACATCCTGTACGCGTAGCGACGGCGGTTCGTCACCACCGCGCGTTACGTACGTCACATATAATTGTTATCGTCATCATAATTGTCGTACCGTGCGCGTGATTTTATTTCGGACATTCGACCGCGACTACAACCGTAAGAAAAACGAACATGGAACGCGCGCACGGGTCGGAGGACACGAGACGAGAACGAGGGAAACAATCGTGTGGAATAAAAAAAAAAAATATAAAAATAAGAGGTTTTTAATGTAATACTCACGGTGAACTGGGCGCGAACGAGCGAGTGGGCCCGTGCGGATCAGAGCACGGCGGAGACGGTAAGACGGCGACGAACCGTTGTACTGCACTACTGTACGTGTACCGCGCGGTTGTATTAAATGAATAAACAAAACGGGACTTCTACCGCGGTACACATGCGCGGTGCAAGACGAGACGTCGTTGTGTTGATACGAAGACGTAGGCACAGCGTAGTTATGCGTGTGCACTGCTGCGGTGCACGACGACGACGATGACGACCGCGGTAAGTGGTGATTATTGCGGAACTCACTGGACTGTAGCACACGAAAGTCAGAAGCGGTCTCTACGCGGCGGCGGCGGTCGTGCGCACGCGTATGCGAGTGTGCGCGTGTGTGCGTGTGTGTGCGCGCGCGCGCTACGGCGGCAGCGGCAGCAACGGCAGCAGCGGCGGCGGCGGCGGCGGCGGCGGCGACGACGGCAGCAGCAGCGACGACGACGGCGACGGCTACGACTATGGTAACGACCGGGCACGGCGCGCGCGTTGTTCGGTCGGGGACGACGACGACGGTATTAGTAGTCGGTCGAACAACACCGGATCGGCGCGCGCTCGGCTCCGGGTGCGCGCTACCCGATCGGCGGCGGCCACGGCGGCCGTGCGCGGGGCGGCAGGTGCATGGGCGCGAGCGGCCGCGGCCGGGGACCCAATGGGCGCCGTGGGAAACGCACGGAAGCCGGCGCAGGCCACGCCCGTTAGCGTTCTGGTTGGCCACTGGGCGCGCCACCGCGTACGAGGTTACGGCCGCCGCGCGGCTGATTGTTTCTTCTCCCTCCGCCGCCCTACCCTCGTAAACGCCAGTTGTTGCCTCCGACGCCGCCGCCTCAACGGTGGCCGACCGGTTTTTCCCCGGGCGGCTACTAAAAGGACTCCGCGATTACGACCACGACGCGGTCCGCAACCACCGCCGCCGCCGCCGACGGCTCTCTCACACTCTCTCTCTCACTCCGTACTCTCTGCCGACGCGCGAACGACACGATAAAACTCCGAGAACGCGCACCGGCCAACGAAAATAACCATGGCTGGGGATTTCGACTAATTTTGGTGAACCGAACCTTTCAACGAGTTTAATGAGTTGAATCAGTGAATCGACTCTTAACTCTTCCAACTCTTTTGTTCGAATCCGAATTCAAATCTCAGGTTGAATCGCGCGTGTCCATATTTCTTTGTTCACTTGAATCGTTATCGGCCTGTCGCAATCTCGTATCGTGAAACTAATTACGAATATTGTCATGGATTTTTACATGGAAATAATGTTTGAAATGTACAATCTGATTTACTACATTAAACCACACTAAATAATAATACAATTAATACGTATATATTTAAAAATTACAATAGATATTATACGATCACGCACTCGCCCTGTAACATTTATCAATATATCTGTGGCTATCAACCAGTGGTGCCTTTTAATTAAAGATGTTACATAATATTTAATCATAAATAATACTTTTCAAGAGTATTATATGAAAAATTCGTTTCAATTTTTTAACGATCATTTTTATTTATTTTTTTTTTAACAACATTCCAATTTTCTAAACAGTTCAATTGGACTACTTGGAGTGCGTGTTCGGTCGTATCAACGACACTCGAGCGTCGAGAGCCGTACATCAGTTCAGTTTGTGGGGTTAGCGATCACCGATTCGTGAATTGAAATCGATAAGTTGGTTGAACAGAGTCGCTGATTCTTGAAACACTGATTCAACTCCTATGGTTAATTTTAAAGACCGGCCCACGAACACATCCCTACAAATATCCGAATAAATTATACGCGTTTGGGTACACATTACGGTGCGTTTGTGTACGATTATGCATACGATACGTTGAACGTATACCATATTGTTATGCATGTATGTTAGGTAGTACTCGCGGAGGTCGTCCCGGTGCGGTACAACGTTCCCTCGTACAGAATTTTAGGTCTTGCCCGAATGGTCGACGGTATAATTAGGTAGACGACCGCGTGTTTTCACCGTCTTTCAATGAAAGTCGCACGTAACAGTGGCGTATATAGAGGGGAGGGGTCTAGTGACCCGGAAATACAGCCCTCCTCGAAATGTTTTAAAAAACTTAAAAAATATTTTAAACGTATGTTATATTTTAATGGTGCTTTATGCTTATTTAGAATTTTCGTCCAATGTCAAATCGTTTTTTTTTTTTTTTTTTGGGACATTCTTTAAATGAAATGTAGATAAATACCTACTACATCTTGTTAGTAATTTAGATAGCAGTGGTAATTTAACTCTGTCCATAATAGCCCCTCCCCAAAATATTTTCTGTATACGCCACTGGCACGTAATATTATTATACTTGCGCGCCGTAAAAGTTCGTTCTGTCCGTGTGCACGTATCACGAAAAATAAGGGTTTTATAATGTTACGCGGATTGTTCTCTACGACTGTCAACACATCAAAAGTGTCTCAACATGCACCACGGTCATTAGTTGTTGTACATTTACAATATTGTTTATATTGGGTTTCGAACCAGTAAGGAAAAACGAATTTAAACTACTTTTAACAATGTACATTATTCTTGACGTATATACGGACTCCATTTAACGTGTAGGTTATCTATTTCAACTTATTATTAGTTACGCACACACTGACTGTACCAAGGATCGCTTATGTCCAACACATTGGACAAAAATATTTGTACACGTATACATTATTGCGCAATACATAAAATATGATGACTTACCGGGTTTTAAAATATATTGCAGAAACCTGAAATGCCAAATATTAAGATGTAATATATTATGTGGTTTTTTTATTATATTGTATATATTACAAATACGTGTGAAGTTTATAAAATTATTAAAACAATGCGTACTGAAATATTTAAATATTTAAATTATACACTGCAGAACGCATCGAAAACGATTTATTAGCAGATTAATGCGAAGGCCAACATCAAACTGAGCAAATTGGAAATGCGCGGTGTTTCGGAATAGTCCGACGCACCAATACACCATAAAGATTAAGATGGTGTACTAATAACAAGTTTAGAAGGATATAATATTAATTTTAGAAACGAGTCGGGTACGCCCGAATACTCTACCGGATTTATACGATCGATTCGCATTTATCTCCATGATTATTTATAAATATCTTTTATTTATACATTTAAAATTTATATTACCCGCGTGTTATTACGTATAGGTGTAATTTACCTGCAAGTTTAAATAACTACTTACAATATTATTATTATACCCGTGTACTATCGTTATAATGGAACGCGCGACTACGAAACAAGTTTTCTCATTCTGCATCATTATTATCAATATAATAATTTTATTTAGGATTAGTCATATTACACAGTGAAACCTTAGAGGTTCAAACTGCTGCTGTTCTGTATTTGGTTTGGCAAGTTAACTCAAAGTTCAACAAAACATGTAATATAATCAATACGTTACGATTTGTGTAATAAATGATGCTAAAACATAAGACTTGAACTATTGTATATTTGTTAACAGAGCGTATACCGAAGAAGTGAAATTTTTCGAACTAAATATTCGTTAGTCATTTCCAAAGTATAAGTAAAAAATATTTAACTTACAATTATAAATCGACTATTGGTCACGATTGTAATTTAAAATATTTATTTTCTATACTAATTAAAACTATCTAAATGTGCGATTCATAAGCATTTATATTTCTGTTATAATTACGTATCGAAATTGTTTTACGCAACAACGGCTTTGAATCTCATAAAAAACTAAAATTTGTACTCGGATTTCAGAACTTAATCACAACAGTATTAGACGATATCACTGATTCGGTAGACAGATGCCAGACACTACATTTGGGAAATATTTTCAAATTGGAAAAGGCCAGGTATATTTCAGTAATTTAATAAACCATTTCTTGTATACGTTGTACTTTTTGAATGCTTCCACAAATAAACATAATATTTCTACGTGTTCGGCGTATTCGGGCAGAAAACGATTAACCGTGAGTACTCTAGGAATTTAATTTCAACGCTGCCCGTATAGCCCGTATAGTTTTATCGGGACGTGAATAACGTGCCATTCGTACAGCTTTATTTTAAACACGATTTTTTTTTTCATATAATATATATTATATATTTGCGACTTAATAACTATTTATTTTTGCACATATTTTTCAATAAATGTGTTTTAACATACTCAAAGTACGAATTTTTTAAGAAATTTTATTAATTTTTGGACAGTAATCATCATAATTATGCGGTAAAACATAATTTTATTCTTAAATGTATGTATTAAAACAATTAAAATTGCAAAAATATGCGAAATTTCATTTTGAACTCTTTATGCTGTCATTCATATTTGTATTTTATCATTTTATGTAAGCAATAAATTCATGCAAATTCATGAACGTCGGAGTCCAAAACGTATTGATTTACTTTAACCATCTTGCGGACTTGTGGTACAATATTAGGAATATGGAAAAATCTTTTATGGTATAGTTGTTTGGCTTTTGAAAACTGAAATAAATCGAAAACCCTAAACACGATTAATCGTTTCCGTAATATGATAATAATATTAGGTAGGCATGTACATTTATTAACGTTATTATCGCATGTGTAGAAGCATGTAAAACCAAGGTTTATAGAGTTTATAGGTTTATAGTCTATTGATGTAGAGCTACAGACATATTTTAGACAAGTCTTTCTTCGTAAATTAAATAAATCGTTCCACGGATTATTACTCGTATTTCGAGGTTAATGACTATTATTACCGTATTCAAACATCGTTCGGTATCGATTTTTCATAGTTTTCACATAAAGTACGTACGTGTTGAATCATAATATTTGAATAATATATACCTAGTGAAACACTTGCGCCTTGATTACTAAATATTGTTAATGATTGTTAATTTAAATTTGTTATCAATATAATTTTAAAAATATATAATGTATTTTATGTCTTATTTTTTTGTATTCTGCTTGGCACATACCCAGTAGCGCACACAGGGAGGGTCAGGGGTGTCGACTGACACCCCTCAGAGAATTGGTGGATAACTAGTTCTGTGCAGTGGCGACGAACTACAAAAAATGCAGTACGGCGATATCAAATTTTAATAGTACCTACCCAACTACCAATTGATGTAAACGGTGGGGGGGGGCTGAAATCCTACCATAATATTGTATTCAAAATTTATATTAATATATATATATTTATATATACATAAATTTATATATTTATATGTATATATATTTTTATATTGTGACTTATCAATAATTTATGATATAGCCGATATAGGTGTTCATATATTAAATAATATTTATTTTCATCACATCGCACTATCGTTATCGTATTATTTGTTTTAACGGTCTTCTGGCTTGTATCAATGTAATCAGCGTACCACAACTGATGTGCTTTTATGTAATAATGTTAAATATTAAATATTTTTAATACTTTCATAATAC